GACTACTACTACTACTACTACTACTACTACTACTACTACTACTACTATGACTATACCATACTATACCCCAATTCAGCTCCACCAGGATCAAAAGTGGAACTCTCGTCACCAGAACCAACCACCCTCTCGCAATCCCAAGTGACCTCTGCCCCAAGTGCCCATGGCCTTCTCCTTCCTCTCTGGCTCCGGATCTTCCTGACCGAGCTCCGCTTCTCTTCCCCACCGAGCTCGGGGGGCGCGGAGCTCCGCACCCGCAAACCACCCCGACCCGCCCGCGTGGCGGGGGTGAAGCGACTCGGGTCGAGTCGGAGAGGTCGGACCGAAGTTCCACTGGATCCGACTTTGGAACCCGAGATCAGCGTAGGGGAGGGACTCCCAGATCTTCCAACGATTAACCACCATGTCGGCCGTGGGGGGATGGTTTTTTTTAGAGACGAAAAGGCAGAAATGGTGCATAGTTGGAAGATCGCATGTAATTGGCACCACCCAAGTAAGTAAAGGAAATTCCGCGGTCTTTGCATCGCTTTTGTTTGACATTCCCAGGCCGGGATATGAGGTATGACATCAACTGACCCTTTAAAACAAAAAAGAACATGTGAGTGAACGACGTGCCTTTCAAAAAAGCAAACATAAGGTTTTGAGCTGTTGCCTTGGGCTCTTTGCAATCAGTTCTTCTCTCCAGGCACTGGGCGTTGGGTGTGTCGAATTGTGAACCCCAATCAGAACCGGAAAGCAACTTGGAAGGGCAGATGCCACAGTAGTTTGAATCACTGGAGATGTCATCTACCCAGACTCTCCAAACAGCCCTTGGTCCCTCAAAATTATAGGCATTTCAATTGATTGGATAATCCGCCGGGTAAATAGGGTATAGCCCACGAAATGCAATGAAATGGCAATCGGTGGAAGAAGTATGCTAAATCCCTAGATGCCCTACGAACGTTGACCAAACCACGATAGGAATCGGAGATGAGGGTCCCCGTGGTTTGGTGGGAAGGGTGTCGAACGAACGAAGGCTGGCAAGCGATCGGACGGACGAAGGCACGAAAGGTGCGAAAGGGTGCAGAGCGAAAGCGAAGGCACGGCCAGCCACAGGCCAACACGTGCGGCACCCTGAAGGAAAACCGGAAGCGGAGCCGATTTTCCTTGAGCCATGAGCCGCGGTCGGGGCATGTGTTTACATGCACTTGGTGAACCGTGGCTGCTAGTAGACATGTACAAATAGTGCCTAGCTGTTACATAGTAGGGGTCCTCAAAATATGACTATTTCAGGGTCCAGACTGGAGGATTCGGGTCCGACCCCTGCATAAGGGTCCAGGAGCGTCTGGGTAAGGCCATGATTGGAGGTTTTTCAAGGGATACAGTATAGGGTCGAACCACGGCTGTGGTAGCTTCAGAACTGCATGCGGTAGCTTCACAACCCCAAAAACAGAAGCTGCACCTAGATCTTTCACCTGTGCCTCCATGTCTGCCTGTTCCAGAAACCCCGCCCTCCAGGCAGAATTGTTCGCAAAGTTGCAAGATCTACTAGCACCCTCCAACAGGCTGTTAGTTGAGGGTTGTTGGACCCTAACAGGTCTCAATTGGTGACCTGTAGAGTCGGGTCCTGGTATCAGCTGGACCGTTCCGTTTGGACCGAACCCCAGACGTCCGGGCGCATGGACGATGCGGGACGCCGGTCGGTGTGGGATGCGGTCCGGCGTACTGAAGGAACAACATCCTCCAAGTCCTGAAAGGTTTCATCTACGAGCTGGAGTCCTTTTCTCCTAACATCTCGATGTTCATATTGGCCTGAAACGTGTGAAGAAAACTCCAACCCGCCACGATCGCGCCTGAAGCATCGCCGACACAGCTGGTTCTGGAGCCCAACGTGGTCTTCTTCACACCTGCCCCACGACCAGCTGCCAGCACAGAAGGTCAGAATGATTCCGAATGGTTCAGAATGTCTGAATCCCGCGACCAGGATGTTGATCTCCCGAAACCCTAGCCCTTCTCCATTCACGTCGGACACACCAAGAGAGGTTGAGAGGTCGCTTCACGTTCGGACCCTGGTCTGTGGTACATATGGGATGGGCGACCTTAGGACTGTTCAACCTCTCTTGGCATGTCTACTGTGATGGTCGAAGGGGTCTCGACATCCGTTGGGGGTCCACCTTTTGGTGTACAGAAGACATGGGTCAGGAACCAAGGGGTGTGGCTTTCACAGGTTCCCTTTCCCAAACACTCCATGACCGATCAGGCCAGGGGTGGTTGATTTCAGGGATCAATGTATGGAGCATATGCCAGTCCCATGGATGTCGTGTCTGGGTGTTTTCTTTGGACCTGTGGCACTTGTGGGTGTTTTTCGGGTGTTCACCTCGTCGGCAGGAAGGTTTTACGATTGGAAGTCAAGCTCTGACTCCAAAACATTGACCACAACGCACAGGGCTCCCAGAAAACTCCACACACAATCAGCATGAAATAGACTGATGAACAATTCCCCAACGGCTGGTCATGAACTGCACGATCAAGACAAACAGCACCCTTGCCGGCTAACTCCTACAGATCAGGAGGAGATGACGCCATCTGTTCCAAACCATGCCCGCTTCCAGATGCCCCTGTTTCAAAGAAGCATGAGGTGGTGCGCCTGTTTTCTTTAGACGCCTCGTGTGGAGCTACAGCTGGCCTCACGGGTCCTCAGTGGTTCAGCAGCTTAGGCACAAAAGCCTGCAGGTCCTCAGCCAGCAGCTGGACCTGTCCAAAGCCACGTGAGGCCAGTGGCCCAACCAGTCCAGCAGGCCACTTTTTCGAACGAAGAATTGGATGCATCGGCCGCGGAAGCCGCGGACTCGGCCGCGGAAGACACGACACTCAGCAGACGCGCAAGATTTGAGGCCGCCCAGGTGTCTGATCTTCTCCGCGATTCAGGCGATCTCTTCTCCGGTCGGACCTCCAACGTTCGCGCGAATCGCTCGTTCTGGTCACGTTCACCGGCTGAGTCGCAGCAGTTCAACGAAACCCCGGTGAGTCACCGGTGAGTTCTGACCGAGCTCGTCAAAGACCTGCAACCTGAAAAGGCATCCTTCTCAATATGGGCGGAGTCTGGCATGGTCAAGTTCAACAATGATGTGCAACCCTCGAAGGCATGATCTCCAATGTGGGTCACCGAGTTCGGGATGCTCAAATCCACTAAGGAACTGCAACCCTGAAAGGCATAACCCCCAATGTGCGTCACCGAGCTTGGGATCGTCAAGCTTGTCAAGGACCTGCAACAGCCAAAGGCACCATCCCCGATGTTGGTCACTGACTTCAGGATGGTCAGGTTCACAATTGAGCTGCAACCCCAAAAGGCACCATCCCCAATGTACTCAACTGAATGTGGGATAGTCAAGGTGACTAAGGAGTTACAATTCTGAAAAGCTGCGATCCCAATGTGAGTCACTGAGTCTGGGATGGTCAAGCTCGCCAAGGATGTGCAACCCTGAAAGGCATCATCCCCAATGCGGATGAGTGAGTTCGGGATGGTCAAGCTCACCAAAGAGCTGCAACTCGCAAAGGCACTATCCCCAATGTGGGTCACTGAGTCTGGGATGATCAATTTGGCCAACTGTTCGCAGCGTTGGAATGCCCTCTTGGGTATTTGAGTTTCATGATGAGGGATTTCAACCACCAGCAAAAGTTCCAAGTCAATGTCACTGCCAAAGTTGGCAAGTGCACCTTTGTAGGAGCATGTAATGGTGTTTGACTTGAATATGACATTCACGACCAAATCGCCCAGCTCCGCATCCAACACATCCACGACTTTCTCGTCATTTCCTAGCAACCTGTCTCCGACAACGATCTCCACCCCAGTGGTTTGGCGAGTCACCTCGTCCCAGGTCGCCTGCCGTTCTCTCATTTGCTGTTTGAGCTCTCTACCTGTCGTCTCTGGCGCGACTTCCAAATGTATCATGTCACCATTGACTTGCAGTGCTGAAAGTCTCATCGCCATGGCTAGGCTCAAATCATGCTCAAAAGGATGTCAGCCGCTCGTGGCCACGTGAGCCATTCGCTGAGTGAGCTAGGGTGGGCATCATTTCTAGAGTGAATCCGAATCTGCGGACCTTTTCCTTGAGATGCAACGGCCTTGTTTGGTACACTTCTCATTTGTGCAGTGTCATCTTAAATGACCTGTGAGTACATACAATTGCCTTTCGCACTCCTCCTTTTGAAGTGTGAGCTCTAAGATCCACTTCAAATCTCTAGTTCAGTGGATTTGCGGAATCCATATATGGAAAAGTATCTTCCATCGCACTGTACATCTGGCTTTCAAGTTCTGGATCTTTGACCCTAACTGCATGATACCACAGTGCTTCAATCTTCAAAAGTTCCTCTCGTGCCACTAGGTCTGCTCTCGTCACCGCCTTGTTGTAGACTTGGAACTGTGCCACTGGGATTTCCACACGATCTGGTTCCCAGTCTGCGGTATGGATCCTTGGCGGACCACTTTGGTCACTGCCCTCTTCCATGTTTTCATCACTCTCTTCACCTTCAGCAGCTGGAACTGGCTCTGGTTCTGGAGCCATTGGAGTATCTCGTGATGACCCCACATCATGACCAACCGTGGTAGTCTCGACATACTCCACTGGGATGGTGACCACTTCGCCGCTGTCCAGCCGGATCGAAACAGTGTCTCCACTGAGGTTCTCACCGCTCAAATCTTCTTCTCCTTCACGTGGTGCAGCTCCCATGGCTGTAGATCCATGACCTTCAACCATAGCCCTTTGGTCAGCTGTGAGGTTGGGAATCCTTCTCCTCTCCAGGTTTCCTCCTCGTTCACCACGAATTCGTTCTTGATCTCTCCAGCGTTGCCGAAGTCTCAGCCCCTCATGTTTCCTGTTCACTGCTTCCAGGTACTGCAAGTAGTCCCAGTCTGTGCTAGCAACGGAGCTAGCTTCCACATGTCCACCTGCAAAGATCAAGCCTCT